GCCACTTCATGGTAAGAGAAGGCATTGTGCTAGGACACAAAATCTCAAGCAAGGGCCTCGAGGTGGACAAGGCTAAGGTGGAAGCAATTGAGAAGCTACCTCCCTCTACCACCGTAAAAGGGATCAGAAGCTTCTTGGGACATGCTGGGTTCTACAGACGTTTCATTAAAGACTTCTCCAAAATCGCCAAACCACTTTGTGAACTTCTGGAGCAAGACAGGAAGTTCAATTTTGATGAAAAATGTTTGACAGCCTTCCTGGAGCTCAAGTTGAGGCTGGTGTCCGCACCCATCATTCAAAGCCCAGATTGGAGTCTTCCTTTTGAACTAATGTGTGACACCAGCGACTTCGGCTTGGGAGTAGTTCTTGGGCAGCGAAAAGACAAAGTCTTCAGAACTGTTTACTACACTAGTAGAACTTTTACTCCGGCACAAGCCAACTACACAGTGACGGAGAAGGAGATGCTGGCAGTTGTATTTGCATGTGACAAGTTTCGTTCGTATCTAATATGTTCCAAAGTCACAGTCTTCACTGATCATTCAGCAATCAAGCAACTCTTTGCTAAGAAGGATGCAAAGCCAAGACTAATTAGATGGGTACTATTGCTCCAAGAATTTGACCTTGAGATCAAGGACCGGAGAGGAAGTGATAACAAGGTGGCTGACCACCTATCTCGATTAAAGAGAGCAAGCCCACAAGAAGGAGATCATATCAAGGAGACATTCCCTGATGAGCAGCTTCTAATGATCGCTGAAAAACAAGCTCCTTGGTTTGCAGATATTGCAAACTACCTGGCTGCCGGAATCGAGCCATACCACTTGAATCACCAAGGGAGAAAGAGGTTCCATCATGAAGCTAAGCAGTATTTCTGGGACGACCCTTTGCTCTACAAAAGGTGTTCTGACCAATTACTTCGAAGGTGTATCCCTGAAGGAGAACAACAGAAAATACTGGAGCAATGCCACAATTCCCCTTATGGAGGACACTTTGCTGGAGCAAGAACAACAACTAAAGTACTGCAGTCAGGTTTATACTGGCCCTCCTTGTTTAAAGATGCTAATGTTTTTGTTAAAAAATGTGACAGGTGCCAGAGAACAGGGAACATTACAAGAAAGCATGAAATGCCCCTTGTTCCAATAATGGAGGTTGAATTGTTCGATGTATGGGGCATTGATTTCATGGGGCCTTTCCCACCTTCCTTTGGAAACAAGTATATACTTGTTGCAGTTGACTATGTGTCGAAATGGGTAGAAGCTGTTGCTACCCCCACTAATGATGCCAGAAAAGTGCTGAAGTTCATCAAAAAGAATATTTTCACTCGATTTGGAACCCCTAGAGCAATCATCAGCGACAGGGGTACACACTTCGTGAACAAACAATTCCAATTGCTCCTGAAGAAATATGGAGTGCAGCATAAAATTGCCACCCTTACCACCCACAGACCAGCGGGCAGGTAGAGGTGTCCAACAGGGAGATAAAAAAAATCCTGGAAAAGGTCGTAAACCCAGATAGAAAAGATTGGTCCAACAAATTGGATGATTCCCTATGGGCGTATCGAACAGCTTATCGAACGCCCATTGGCTGCTCCCCCTATAAGTTGGTGTTTGGAAAAGCGTGTCACTTGCCTCTGGAACTTCAACACAAAGCATTCTGGGCCATCACATTGCTAAACATGGATTCCAGAATGGCTGGGGAAAAGAGGTTGCTCCAGTTGGTTGAACTGGAAGAATTCCGGAGCAAGGCATATGAAAACGCCAACCTCTACAAGGAGAAGATGAAAAAGTGGCTGTATCGATCCAGATTGAAACTGTTTCCTGGAAAGTTGAAATCAAGATGGGAGGGACCTTATGCAATCATTGAAGCACTTCCCAATGGAGCATTTGCCATTGCTCATGAAACATCTGGAGCAACGCTCAGGGTAAATGGACACAGACTCAAGAAGTATAATAGAGGGATCAAGGAGCATGAGAAACTAACTTCTCATCTCGATGACCCAGCTGAAGTCTGACTCAAGGAGCAACAAGTCGAGCTAAGACTATAAACGAAGCGCTACTGGGAGACAACCCAGATTTATTTCCACGTCGTTCTTTTTATTATTATTGTCTTTGTTTGAGAAAATGAATGTGCTAACCATTGCAGGAAGTTAGTTTTGGGGTTGCTCTTGAGCAACCTGATCCCAAAAGCAAGGAGCAACAACACTTAGAATTTGATCCTTCAATGAGAAACCAAGTTCTAATTGGGCTGATCCACTTGCCCTTTTTAACCCAAGGGCCTGCAATGGGCCGCATGCGAAAAAGAGAGAGAAAATCGAGTGGCGGAAGCAACGGAAGGATAATAGCTCCACGTCGTGCTGTCACATCCCTCCAATCAAGCGAGAGTAGCAGTTTCAAAAAGAAGAAACCGTCAGAGCAGAGGACAGTTGCTTTCCCCCAGGCATTTATGTGCAGCAGACACTCTTCCACCCCATATCCGCCACTCAGCAAAGCCACGATCACCACCACACAGAGCGTTTTAACCTTCCCATCCTCCCCTTCGTTCCTTTATAAACACAGAACTGCTATTTCATTCTCATAATCTTTTCTCCTTCAACCCACAAAAATCCAACCTTTACTCCCCACTCCATCCCTCCTACTCAGAACATTACACCATGACACGTCCAAAGGCCATTATACCTGTTGCTTCTATCTCCAAGAAGAGGACCCGAACAGGGAAAAAGCTCAAACCTGAGCAAACCACAGTCGACCGTACAGTCATACCAGAACGAGGCATAGTCCTCAGTAGCTCCAAACACGGAGATCTCGACCGATGGCTGACCGAGGATATAGCAGAACTGGACTAGGAACTCTTCATTGAGCCTCCCTCAAGAGCTCGCACTGAGTTCGTGACTGCATTCTTGGAGGGAATGAAGAAAGAAGATCTTCCAAAACTCCTCATCAGAGGCGTGAAAGTAGACTTCTCCCCTGAAGAAATCAACGAAGCATACAACACTGCTTCAGTTCCTGCCGAACAAGATGAGTTCGATAGATACTGTGCTGGCCGAGGGGATGAGGCCGTAACTGGAGAAATGCTCTAAGAAATAGGCTCAGAGGGAGCAACCTGGGGAACTAAGGAATCCATCCCTAGGAAGCAACTCAAATTCGAAGCAATGGGGGTAGAGAGATCACTTGCACCACAAAATCATATGGAACTTAAACTTAATGAATTCATAACTTTGTTGGCCATAAAGATGTGGGACTTAGTGATAGTCCTCAAGAGTTGAGGCCCATTAAGTGTAAATTGTTCCACAAAACCCATGTTTTGGTTATATATCACTCCCTTCAACCTTCTTTTTTTCATATAGAGCAACTGTTTTGAATAGTGGACCAGAGCATTGCCGAAAGTGGGAATTAAGGTAGACCTGGAGCAAATTTAACATTATCTTTTTCACATATGACTATTGGGTTAGTTTGCTTTGTTCAGGACACCTAAGGCACATCAAAAGGAACCACAAAATGAAGAGAGAAGAATGAGTGTTGCGCAGAAAGGAAAAAGAAGTCTGCTATAGTACAACAGCAGTCAAAGGAAGCAATGGGGAGCCGCCACGTCAGCTACAGCAGAGAAGGTGGAGGTTCTGCCTCTGCTACAGTACGAAAGCAAAAAAGCTGAGCAATGGGGAGCCGCCACGTCAGCTACAACAGAGAAGGTGGAAGTGCTGCCCTGAATCCGATACTCCTACTCACAAAGGGAGCCAAAAGCAAGGGGGACCACTTCCATTTAAGGCCAAGCTGGCAAGAAGCAAAACTACCATTGGAGAGGATTTAGACAAAGCACGACCCTTGATGAAAGGAACAATGGAGATCAAATGAAGAACCCTATAAAAGGAACAAGTAATCCTCTTTTAGAGGAGGATCAGCACCCATCCTAGGACCGGTTGTCTCTTTGTTTTCTTATTTCTTTGTAAAAATGCTCACTAGGAGCTAACTTCCTCTAAGTAGTGAGGGTTCCATAGAAGTAATCCTTTTTGTCTTAGGATAGCTTTGTAAGGAACACATATTTTATAAATGAATTTTGAGTTGCTCTTTGGTTTAATTTATTGATTTTGTGAAACCCTTTGGGCTGGCAACCTCATCCCGGGACCACTCGGTTGATGAAACACTGACAAAGGCGTTGGAGCATTCTCAAAATCCTGGGGTAGTTTAGCCTGAAGAAAGAAGGGATAAACACCTGGAATGGGGAGCACTGCCATGTGAATCCATGCTCTTTTGATAAGGCAGCATGGTTTCCTTGCATATAACTCCAAGTACTATGGAGTAACGTAGAGAGTAAGGCCTTACCCTCTGCTTACCTATAGCAAAACAAGGGAAGGAGCAAAATCCACTTGTAAAATATGCTACCAGGCAGGGTTAACCAAAGGGATGAAAACATGGAACCCGTAACACCTACTTGATCTTTTTCTCTCTGAAATTAATCTTAACTCAATTCCTATCACAACCTTTTCCTCACGATAACTGAACTGTGTTTTACTAGCTGATGCTCTTACTTTCATTTCGTTGACTGCTCTTAAAGTTACTTCAATTAATGCCATTTTATTCGATGACCATGCTAAGTCATTCACTGCTCTCATCTGGTTCAGAATGGTTAACATTGTTTAACTAGCTGCCCAGAGATTGCTCTTTCTGAAGCTTAGCTGAGAATAGTGATTTCTTTTATTGCTCCATTTTACAAATTAAGTTTCCTTTAGCGCTTCTTACTTCACAACTGCTCCCTGAGGACGATAAATCTGGGGCTATAATACCCTATATTGCTTGACACGTACGCTTGCGTATAGTTGAAGAGGGTTGCTCTTAGTCAGAGTAGATTGCTCCTGTTGGCAATCCTGATTACTACTCTACACTCTTGCTCTCTGAAAGAAATATTCTCGAGCAACTCTCGGTTCGACCAAGCACTTAGTATACATGTATTGTTGGTGAGAGCCCTTGCATGCATTAGTGTTCTGATTGCTGAATGGATGATTGTTGTAGCATGGTTACTGCATTCTGGTGAAATTGCAATAATGGGGAAATTGATCCCAATCTGTCTTTAAACATTTGGAAAACTTATTCTGTTACTGCATTTTTCTTAGTTAATCATTAATCTTATTTCATTTTTCTTAAATTGTTAAAGTAGTCATTAGTCAACAACAATTCATCTTTGTTACCTTGATTTCTTCACTTAGAGCTGTAGCATTATATAATCTCTGTGGGAACGATATCTGGACTCACTCATCCACTCTATTACTTGTTGATACGTGCACTTATGTACTTGTGTGATTTATATAATTGATTGCAAAATTCCACAACAGAGACCGGCAGGCAAAACCGATAAGGAGTGGGAGATTCAGAGTCGTATGGCGGTAGCTACAATCAAAAAATATATTGACAAAAGCCTCTTTGATCAGGTGTCCGAGTTCACGAACGCGTACGAGTTATGGACGAAGTTGGAGTCCATGATTCAGAAAAAGACTCCCAGGAACAAAGCACACCTGGTTCGCCGACTTGTGAAGTTGGCATATAAAGGACAGTATGAGCATGATTGAACACCTCAACACCTACAAAGGTATTGTGAATCAGCTGTCAAAGGCTAAGATGAAAATTGATGATGAGATGCAGGCCTTGCTGCTGTTGAGCTCGCTGCCAGAAAGCTAAGATACTCTGGTGGTGACCTTGAATAATTCGACTCCAGATGTAAAATTGAAGATGGATGTCATGACAGACAACCTCCTGGGCGAAGAAGCCAGGAGAAGATAACAAGGTATTTCGAGCACGTCTGAGGCCAACATTGCTGAGAACATAGGGAAATCCGACTCCCGGGGTAAAAGCAAGAACCGGGGTCGAGATCGTGATAGAAGAGGAAATTTCAGAGGTCGGTCAAAGCCGAAATATGAGTTGAAGTGCTTTTACTGTGGAAAGACAGGTCATAAGAAGTCAGACTGCTGGACCCTGCAAAATGACGAGAAGAACGGCTCTGTGAAGCCGGATCAGATTGTTCCCAAGAAGAGGAAGACAAGAGCACTACTGCGGTGGCTGCCAACTCGGATGCCGAGATATTCCTCCTTGGTAAGGATAATTATTTGAATGTTGCATATGATGACTGCACCTGGATTGTTGACTCCGGTGCCTCCTTCCACGTTACTCCACACAAAGATTTTTCTCCTCTTACTGAGGTGGTGATTTTGGAGTCGTGAAGATGGAAAATCAAGTAACCAGCAAGATTGTTGGTGTCGGTGATGTAACTCTGACCACAGATGTCGGATGCCGACTTGTGTTGAAAAATGTAAGGCATGTTCCTGACATGCGATTGAACCTATTCTAGGTAGGCAAGCTTGACGATGCCGAGTTAGTGAACTACTTCGGCAGTGTTAGATGGAAGCTGGCCAAGGGAAACTTGGTTGTTGCCCGATGCAAGAAGGAAGGCTCCTTGTACGTGATGCAAGGAAATATCAATGGCGGAGAAGCCAATTCTGTCCGAGATGAACCTAGCTTGGAGCTATGGCACAAGAGCCTCGACCACATGAGCGAGAAAAGGATCCAAATCCTAAACAAGAAAGGATTGCTGACCGGGTTGAAAGGCCAAGCGTTGGAGAGTTGCACGCACTGCCTAGCTGGAAAGCAGCACCGGGTTTCTTTTGTGAGACCGGATCAACCCAGACGACACAGGTATATTCTTGACCTCGTCTATACTGATGTTTGCTTCATGTTGAAGAAATCCCTTGGAGGAGCTCAGTACTTTGTTTCATTCATTGATGACCATTCCCGCAAAGCGTGGGTAAATTTGTTGAAGTCTAAAGACCAGGTACTCCAATCCTTTAAAGAATTCCATGCAATGGTTAAAAGGGAGACTGGAAAGAAATTGAAGGTGGTCGTCCGATCTGACAATAGTGGTGAGTATTGCGGCCCATTTGATGCATTATGCAGAGCGGCCGGGATCCGACTTGAGAAAACGCCCCCCAAGACTCCACAGTTGAATGGACTTGCTGAGAGGATGAACATG